CATCGTTCCACCTCCGTTGTATGAAGTCTTTGTGTAAATTCAAATATCTTCTTTTGCAAAGATGCTATACTTTTCTGTTAGTAAACAGAAACAAAATAATATGCTATAAAATGTGCTATTTTAGTAATAAAAACAATCACATTGAGTACCTGAGCAAATTAGATAAAGCTGTCATTTTGCTGTCCATCTCTAAAAGACACATGCGAGCGCAGGAATGTGAACGTGTTTTGTGTACTGTTGAGGGTTACTGGAAATTCCATTTTCAAGGAAGTACCTCTTTTCATGTAAAGCCCACAATAAAAGATTATGTAAGAAAGACTTTATTGTTTCATTTCGGCTAAAGTGAAGAAGGCTATCAAACATTACAAGTTTGTTCTTATAAAGCAAATAACAATTTTGACAGAACATTAAAAAAATATTTTTCTTGGATATATCAAATCTCTTCTTAAATTCTTTGACAACAGAAGATCTATTAACGCCCTACTGCTTTGGGTGTTGCAAATCTACTTCTGATTCTCTATGGAGCTGACTTCAATGTAATGGACTCATAAAGAATCTGAAACAAAATTAACAGTACTATCAAGACAGCTTCACCATAACACTTATGCTGTGAACCTATGCTGTGAACGTACTGTTACATGAAGTAGCACCATAAATAAGCATACCGTAACAGGTAGTCTGTCACATAATCCAGCTTCCAGGGCCTGGGTATTTATTTTATGAAGTCCATGAGCCAATCTCTGTACCAAGGAGTTTTTCTCCAGGTAAGTAATGCTCCTGCTGTCTGTTCCAGTCTCCATTATTACATTCAGCTTGTTCATAAGTTTTGAAAAGGAGTTCCTGGCTGCATTTACAAGTACATTTTCAGAAAGCCGGGCCTTTGGATCTTTAAGAAACAACAACAACAAAGAAACATCACGAAGTTTATTAGTTTTGGGGCTTTCTTCAGTGGTAAAAAGCAACAACAATAAATAGCATCTTTAAAATATTCAGTAGGAAATTTCCATTAAGAAGTAGAAGACTGAGCTCACAGGAAATATCTCAGAAAGGCTTTCAGACAAATTCTGTATTTAGCAATGAATACTCTACTCCTATCAATCTTTGGGTAGAAGAGTAGGATAAGATCGTTAGAATAGGATTTGTTTGTCAAAGAGTAATTTTTTAGTTGTTTTTATATTCTCCTCCAATGCTATGCTTTGTCAAGTCTTTCTTTGATGTCCGAATTTTGTAATTCATAAAACATGTAAGATGGATACAAGTACATGCAAGCCAGGTCAAGATGTCAGATGTGATAGCACATGGTAAATTACTTTATTGCAATATTTACAATGCAAATTTCTGAGGGTTTCCTGGCTCTTCTTCCCTTCCCTCTATAGATGTCTAAATCATTTGCTGTTCAAAATTAGTGAGGCTTGGTACCTTAATGCCATACTATTTATATTCTGAGACAAGAGAATATAATTTACCTTATTCCAAGGCAATTAAAATTTTACAGCTACAATTACTTATTTCCCCACAGGATTTTGGTAATCATCCTTCTCATATAATGGACTTAAGGCCCCAGCACACCCAACATGTCCTGCTTACTGCTGGATTCGTCAGGTCTGTAATTAATAATTGTGTTTAATGTTGATAAATAAAATTGTCAGCGCTCCTTCCACTAATTGGTATTCCAGATAACAGTTAATAGGTTTATTTATGCCTTAATAAAAGTCTTGTAATTTAGTTTTCCCTCTGCTAGGCAGGTCTTAATCTGTCATTACTTGTCTTATGATACTATCAGTGTAAGATGACAAGCATGGAAGAGCTTATTTACATTCAGTAGTACAGCAGATCTCCTGTTGCTGCAGTGAATTAAAACATTTACTTAAAAGTATAAACAGAAAAAAAATACTGTAGCTTTTTTAAGTTACAGAATTTCTTTTTACACATTGTGAGGATAACACCACAGATTCAAAGCAAATAAAACTTAATTACTGATATCTTTAGATTACGATTCTTATCATAAATAATCAATTACACATACATGTGATAAAATTTATTTGTAAGCAAACAAATAAAAAGGTGCAAGACAGACTTACAGTCTCTGTCAGAGCAATTCTCCTGCTTGGTTTCAAAATACCACTATTTCAGTGACTCCAGTGCTTGGCTGGAATACCATTTTTGAGTACATGCTCTCCATAACCCCAGCTAGTAGTAAATCTGGATTCATGTTTAATATAGCACTCTTTCAATTCATCTAAAAATCTTATCCAGCATTGTTACCTTTATCTATCAAAACTCTATTCGAAACAATAATTAAAAAATTATTCAGAAGAAACTGCTATTGCACCACTCTGTCTACTTTGGCTAAGGCTCCTATCTTTTACTTGTGTTGACTTCCTATTAGTAATCACTTAAAAGATAATCTATCTTCAATATTTTAACAGATCATCCTGTCCCACCCATCTTTCAGTTTCAAAGACAATCTCTTTTCTCCATTCAAGATGCATTTGCTAGTTTTAATGTTTAGTTAAGAAGAATAAAATTAAACCAAAAATTAAAACCAGAACAACTGCACTGCTTTCACATAAGATGACACCAAAACCTTATAAAAAAAACCCTCTCTTTTATCATGATTTTTGGTAAATACCAAAACAAGAATACTGCCAATGACCTACTGTTCTCTCATTTTTCCTAGCATTTCCAGCTGGTATCTCATTTTACACAAGATTGTTTGCCTGCCAGAAAAGGCAGTATTTCTCCATACGTGCAGTACCTGGGATGGCAGCCTCTTTCCCTGTGTCTAGAAACTTTAGTACAACTGTAGTAAAAATAAATGAATAATAGTTCAGGCAATTGTTTTGTACTATTTTAAATGATTGTTCCAGTTCATAACCAAACTATTCTTAGCATCTACAACTTAAGGTAACTTATTGGGCTGGGGAATAACAAGGCAAATCATCACGTCTGGGTTTTGGGGTTTTTTTGGTTTTTTTTTGGGGGGGTGTGTTATGGAGAGCATTTTTGGCTTAAATACACATTAATATGTTGAGCTAGGCACTGACTGCTTTGAAAATTGAAGTGAGCATATAACATAATTCCACAAAAAACTGTATCTATAATTACTGGGAAGTGAATACATGGTTTAAGTTTGCACATTTTAAGTACCTGCCCACAAAGAATCAAGAAATTACAGTAAAAGCATTATGTACCTTGTAATGTGTATAAGAAATTATTAACACTATTACACAAAAAGCAGTTAATTCTTACAATTAAAGAAATGGTGAAAAAAAAGACAATGAAAAGTGACACACTTCACTAACAGATGAAGAAAATTCTTGCTTACACTTTTTTAGTGAAATAGAACAGTCAGCAGGATGAATGTACTATAGTACTACACAAGACTAAAATTTTCATGCTAAGCTTCAAATGCTTCGTGCATGCAACAGTTGATGATGTTTGTATTCAAAATGCTTGACCTTTACTTTCTCTGGTTTATCACAGCACAGATTCTGTTCAAATAAACCTACAAAACTAACATTAAAAAAAAAACCAAAATAAACCAAAACAAAAAACCCTGACAATTCAGTGAACTTGTATTCAAACTGAATCTAAGAGATCATCCCAAGACATGCTGGAATGAGAACCAAACTAATGAACAATGTGAAATGATTGTAAATGTCAAACCAAACCCTATTTTTTAAAAGCTAAAAGCTCCAGAAAGGTGTCTTAAATCACCAGAGCATGTAAGTCCAAAAGTTTTAGTGATACCTGAGCAACCTGGATTTGATTTCTTTCAACTGCCTCACATGGTTCCTGAGAACCTAGCCATCTTTAACAGTAATTTTAATTTAAGACACCAAACCATGCCATATTGTACATCCAGACCGCACCTCCTGTGATATGCAGTCTAATCTGGAACTGCCATTATTTCCAGATCTGAAGAGAGCAGATGCCCCTCAGATTTCTTATTTATATCTAAAATAAATTCCCAAATCATTAAAGTCATTTTGAAGGTTTGAATCCTACTTGAAATATGAGTTAGAGAACATAAAATAATTTCCCAAGTACACAAGCTTTCTTTCAAATATGTTCCTTCAGAGCCTTAACACTTCAACACTTCTGGAATTTCACGTCAAACTTTAAATTATTTATTACTACTTTTTTTGAACCACAGATTCTTAGGAGACTTTTGATCTCAAGAGCAACAGAATTCCAAGTAATGCACAAAAAGTTAGATCTTGAGGTTCTGTGAAAAATTATTTAAAATAGAGATAAGCTATAAAAAATCACCAAAGTGTGGCCATAACATTCTCAGCATGGCACTTCCTAATTCTCAGAATGAAACCTGTGTTGAGAGTAGAGGTATCAAGAGGAGTCCACCAGAATTCTCATATGCTTGAATACCAGCAATGTATCATGAGGTTTAGGGTATTCTAATTAGTCACTTCAGCACATCGATGCTGCTGTAAAGTTTATCCTTTATCAATTTGGTGTTCTTTCTCAACATTACATACAGGGGAACACTTTCAGCAAAACCCTGCAAATATTATGAAACATAATTCAAACTTTGTTTTTGAGGGGTGTAAACTGAAGTTACTGAAAACAGGAAAGAGCACCTGAAACTGAATCAAAATACTTTTCATTCAGTGGCTGATTTCGGATACCAGTTTATTGAAAACAGTATCCATCAAAGTCAATTTTTTTCCAGATCTGGAAATTCTAGATTAATATCATATAAAACACAGAAGATAATTATTTCTTTTCAGTCAGCAGCAGCAATATCCCAGGTTAAATATGTGCGGGGTTTAGGGCCTACATTTAAGAAAAACACAGATGAAATAGGCACAAATTACATACATTTTCTCTATAGAAAAAAAAATAGGTTGAGCTTCAGTAAAATACTTTTTGAATATTAGAACAGTGGAACAAAATAACTTCGAAGCTTGTAAATATTACTTCCTTGGAAGCTTTTGAGAACAGGTTTTCCAAACATGCACTGGCATGGTGTAGATGGCTCTTTTTCTATCTCACAGCAAAGGAGGAAAAGATGTTTATACACTTTTTAGAAGTACTCTACAACCTACCATTTCTGTGACTCTATACAGTGAAATTACAAAGTATCATATCACTAATTAAAGAAAATTAAACTGTTCCAACAATACAGCTCTCCAGAGATTTGATCCAGAATAGTTTAGATAAAATCCCAAAAACTGAAATCATGTAAACACCCTGATTATTTTTTACCTTATATAACAAGAATATACTCTTAAATTTACCTGTTGTGTTAACAACATCCTGTAATTCAGTGACAGAACTTGTAATTGCAGCAAGGAGGTTAGAACTAGTAAACCAGCTGGATGCTTCAACACAGTGAATTTGCTCCTCTTCACGACCTGTGAAACAGAATTGTAGCTAGCAATAAAACTAGATCACTAAGACACAGTACTATCTCCTGCTCTTTCAGAAATTAACCAAAACTAGGTGTACAAGCTCCAAACTAGCTCTTCTTTCAGGATGATTTAAATGTATTAAATATGCTTCCAGAACTACCAAAAGGAGTAGAAAAGTAGACAGATCTCCTAGTCTGGGAAACATTTTTGATACCATTAATCCTTGCAGCAGGAAGCATAAGCTGATCTGGTAACAGGAAGGGCCAGGAAAACTACATAATCTCTAAATAAAATTTAGAAATCCTATATTAATATTTTACTTGAATCAGAAAGTAACTTTTTGCATTTTTAGTAGGTAATAAATAGTAGAAGTTAGTAATAGAAGAGGAAGCACCCTTTCAAAAATGTACATTACAATGTATTTACCACAGAGAATGTGGTAGCAACTAGTTCTGAAATCTGTAATGCAAATGTCAAGAATATCAAACAGTATGAGTTCACATGTGTAGCTGTAATTTTTCTTCCAATGCTTAACAGACTAAACGTTTCCTTTTCAGAGAAAATTAAATTTGCCAAGAAATCCAGAAATCACAAATACAGAAACTACATTTATAAAAAGGTCATTAAATTTCTCTTTACACTCAATTGATAACATTCCTGTTTGTTATTTACTAACCACGTAATTTGACATAACACTTATCAAAGAAGAAAACAATTTGCTTACTTGACACATTATGTTTGCCTTTGGATTCTCCTATACAAACTAGAATTCCAATGCCTTCTTTGAAGCCATCTACCCAGGAGAAGAGGGAATTGGAAGACTGGGCTAAAACTTTAAATCTGTTAGCTGCCAAAACTGCAATCACACCTCTTCGAAATACATGAATCAAGCCTTTGAGTTTTCTTTTCTTCAGTTTTGCATCATCTTGATTGTCTTCCTCTACATCAGAGAGTGCATGAACTAGGGTCCTAATCTCCTGGTTCACTAATTCATAAATGTTGACCTGATCCTGGAGAAGTTCCCTCTGGAAAGACATGGCACATGATCGGCCATAGAGAGGATACAGGGCACCCGCCAATAGTGCACAGGCTACCAGGAGAGATGAATGCTCCTTCTGAATCTGTGTTAACGTATTTTTCACAGAAACATTTTCAAGGGCTAATTTATCCCGTCTTCTTTCAAGGGCATAAATTTTTTCCTTGTTTTTTTCTGCTGTTTTTTGGTATTCCTGGGATAAGGGGAAAAAAGAAAATCAGAAAAAATATTACCTAGAGGATATTTTTAAAAAATAACAACATTTTTAGATCCACAAAAGAAATTTTTTATTTCAGGTTCAAATATCTCATTAAAGGAACAAAACATATTACTAATGACTGTTAAAGTATCTCACCTAACAAGCAGTTAGAGAATCAGATGTATAAAAATAATTAAATAGCACAAGGAAAATCTGCACAATCTTCAGCTAGAAATATGATAATCCACTAGTACTGCAATAGCCCACAAGAGGTCTGACAGTACCTGATCATCCACAATACAGTTTTATGAGTTGTTTTAAAAATAAGTAATTGCATCATCCATTTCAAGAAAGAACTTTTGTTTTTCAAAGCAGAAATGAAAGTGTAAGGGAGAGTAAGAAAACAAGTAACACTCTGGAAGATAAACCTAAACAGATTGGCAGCAGCTGGGAAAGGGGAAGTAAAGGTGATCTCTTAATTACTTTGTAATCAACCCCCTACTTATATATTCACAGATTAATTAGGTCTCATACAGCATTATGTTTACAAAAGGACAGTGTAATACAGATATTTTTATTTTGACTAGTGACATTACAGATTTTTTTCAACTTGCAGAACAATTTTTATTTTCCTCTGTATGCCCTGATATGGAGAAAGAAGAAGATTTAAAACAGTAAACCAGTCCAGCAAAATGAAGACGCTAACAAGCCAGGGAATGCCAGGACTAAGGTTAGACCATGCACAGACTGGTTGCTTTTGATAACATGCAGTTCTTGTACAGAAATCAAGACCCTATGCTGGGACCTCAGAGATTTAGACCGGCTTCTTGATGCATGAGAGTCCTCTGTGATTGGAATAACCACTTGAGGCTACATTTAAACAAGAATTTTAGGCACTGCTCACACAGAACCCACAAACTCAAGTTTAATGCTTACGCCCCAGTTACAACACATGAACACGAAAACCCAAACGTGAATGGAATGACAAGTCTGTATGATAAAGAGAGGTTTATGCTAAGGTTTAGGTACCTCTCTTAGAGCTATAAGCAATTTTGTTGAAAGTGGAATGAGGTTATTTCTGCCAGCAGTGTCCAAAAGAGAAATAAAATGGTATCATCCAAACACATTCTCATGTATTCTACTTTGTACAAGTTCCAAGCAAGCAGTGAGAGGGGCACCGTGGTTTCTTCACCCTCCTCCACACTGCAAGCACAACAGTTAAAAGAAGATACATAGCTCTCCATAGAATGGAAATAAAAGATTCCATGCTTCTATACAGCAGTACCCTAGTCAGTCAGACCATCTTTTTTGTTTCAGAAAAGGAAGAATTTGTAGTATTATTAAAGCACTTTCAGTAATACGAAAACAGAGTAGGTAACTAAAAGATCTAATTACAGAAGGCAATTTACAAGGCCTCATGTTACTTACTACTCTAAAATTAAGTATGAACATGTACAATACTTTCAGTGCTACTACATTATTTACAGTGTTTGATTTTTACAGAAACGAAACAAAACAAAACAAAACCCTGATAATATGACTGGAAGGAACTGAAAAGGTAAGCTGAATTTAGAAAACAACTTACACTTTCTGGCCGTCATAGATGAAAGGCCAGTATCCGAGTAAACAAAGTGTGATCCCTACAGGGTCGTTGAGCAGCAATACTAATATTCAGTGCTCTGCCTAATTAAAGCTTATTTTTTTAAAATAGCATAGTGTTTTTATGACTATGGTTATATGGTAATATGTAAAACTGAACAAGACAATCTCTGACTACAGAAATGCAAAAGTTTGGTAAGAAAATACCCCTTGATTTTACCAGCTAATAATGGCTTCTGTCTTACCCCACACTGTTTTGAGCATTTTCTTCAAATCTTAAAAGCACACTTTTTGAAAGGGACACCATTTCTTCTTAAACATTGGCAAGCCAGCTTAAGGGACACCTCACTGGATTGCAGAGCTTGGTGGATTCCAAGAATCCTTAATAAAAAAAACAGGTGCAACTAGCAATACTATTTCATCCTACTTCTTACTATATCCTTATCTTTTCTTCTGGCTTGAACTGAAAACTAGAAATAGAATGACACTATGACTTCAACAGGTTTTCCTGTATTTCAGTATTTTTCTAAAAATATACATCTATATATCTAACAGTATCAACACCACTGTCCTCCCCTTCTTTCCTGTGCTTTAAGTACATCGGCAGACATGTCTATCAAAGACACCCAGTGGGTCAGGAACGGTATAGTTACATGTACTTATACCTGCTTTGGCACTGATTGCACTGACTTTTGATACAACTGCAAGGTACTTTAGCTATTTCACCAGCCTTGCTATGAAAGCAAGGCTGCCAAACAACGACCCAAAAAAAAAATAGCGCAAATAAGATTTTTTTCCTCCCTAGAGGACTTTTTCCCTTTCCTGTTTAGAAAACCTTTTATTTTTCTGTTGAAAATAACATTTTTTATGTAGCTACATGATTTTTCTCCTGCAACACGTTTTTGCATATCAGAACAAACCCCTTCTATTTTAAGTGGTTACCACAAAAAAAAAAAAAAATGGGGACAGATTAATAAATGTCTACATAATAAACAAACAACAACTGATAGTTAAAATTCAGAGGGCATCTTCTGTGAAACTGTGCACAGTCTAAACAAATATTTTTGAGAGGCTAAGGAACAAGCACAGTAGCATTTTGAAAATGGCACACGATCAAATCAAGAGGACTGCACTCCTGTTACAGAAGGCAAGTAAAAAGCATATGCAATTTAGGCCCCATTAACTCTGCAAACACAGAGACCACTGACAAAAGCAGTATCTATAGAGTGCCTTGTTTACTGCTGATCTGTGATAAGGCCACTCTGGGAATTTTTGTCCTAGAGAATAACAGTGAAACTGCTTTCTGATTACATTGTCTGACCTACAGTAACAGCCTTGAAGTAGTAACTGTTAGCATCCATAGATTCTATCTTGCAATCAGGGACCCTGAACAGTATGGCTGGGGACAGAAGCAGTGGCAGGTGTCATTGCTACTAAACCCTCCAGGTACTGCAATATTACAATTTAATCATAAGGAGACCATTCTGAAAAGCCCTCACTCTACCACAGCTCTAAGAAAGAAAAACCGCAATTTCCAATATATATTACTCATACTGCTGTGTAGTTGGAGCTCTCCATGAACTTCTGAGAGTCTGAATTCACAGTCTCAGTCTGCCTTTGTACATGTACTGTCAAATGCAAAAACTAAAGAAGTCTCCACCCAGGATCTCTGAGGCGAAAGTGTCTAGAAAAAGGCACAGAACACTGGTTGAAGACAAAGTTGCACAAGGATGCATCCTATGATGCACCATTAGCTTGGTGCATGACAGCAAAAATCACTACTCTTCCACTTCTGGAAAGGGACCAGCAAGAGATTGGTTTATTGAATTATTAAATATTGCATTCTGTATGTTTACATAAACACTGGCACAGAGTAATATCTAAAAGACCCTTAGATGACATTCCATAACTTGAGGCATAGTTTTCCTTGTTTCTTATGGAAATAAGGCGATAAAGTTAATCTGTCCACACACCTATGATCCAAAAGAGCAGTGATCTTGCAGACAAATAGGGTAAAAGACAGTCAAGTCTTATGAAAAACAAGCATCAGGATTAGAATAGCCCTAACAAAAGACATCCAGGGACCCTATGGTTCCCAGAAAGGTAAAGGTTTAAGCTGGTATTTGCAGGCCCAAAGTCATCCACAAGTTAGAAATACCAAAGAAATTAAGACTTGTCTTTCCAGATTGACACTGAATGGTAAGGCAGGCAACTGGAACACAGGATGGAAAAAAGATGCAACAAAGTTTTGTTGAACACAGACAGACACACACTGCCTAGATTACAACACTATCAGCATGTACTCCAACTTGCAATATGAACTAGAAAACATGCCCATCTATTTCTAAGGGAAAGCATTTCCCTTTACGAAACCCAGCAGACCTGTACTGCAAGTTGACAGATGAAAGTATTTTCTAGAAGACAGATCTAATGCACTCTCCAAAGAGAGCCATGATTTCAGAACACACTCTGATAGCTGTTTACATACTTCAGATTAAAAGACCAGCTGGTTCAGCCCCATTCCAAAGAATGGTACAGTACTGCACAGCACCAATTCTCCACAATATGCTAAGAATTCCACAAGAGATGACTCAGGCCCTTTTTTTTTTTTTTAAGCATCTGTAGGAGGTAGGAATCTAAACTGTGTGTCCCCTTTTTCTTTAGCAAGGTGTCCTGGGTTTAGTAGTAGCAGTCAGTTTTTCTTCTTCTTAGTAGCTGGTACAGTGCTGTGTTTTGACTTTCAGCCTGGGAACAGCACTGATAACACTGATGTTTACTCTGACCAAGGACTTCGTGAGTCTCATGATCTGCCAGGGAGGAGGGGAGGCCAGGAGGAAGCAGAGACAGGACACCTGACCCAAACTAGCCAAAGAGGTATTCCATACCACAGCACATGCCCAGGATGTAACTGGGAGTTACCAGGAAGGGCACTCTCTTCTCGGTCGGGCTCGTTTCAGCGAGTGGTATCGTATTCTCTTTCATTATTTCCCTTATCATTACTACTGGTGGCAGCAGCAGTGGTCTGTGTTATCCCTCAGTTACTGGGCTGTTCTTATCTCAACCCTTGAGAGTTACATTCTTTCGATTCTCCTCCCCATCCCCCTCTGGGAAAGGGGAGGAGGGAAGGAAAGAAAGAGGGTGGGGGGGGAGTAGAAACTGCGTGGCTGATTGGGTTTAAACAACAACAGTACCTCTTCGGCTAGTTTGGGTCAGGTGTCCTGTCCCTGATTCCTGCACCAGCTACCAAGAAGGAGAAAAATTGATTGCTACCGCTGAACACAGGACATAAGGAAAAGTAATTTTTAAAATTAAGCTGTCTCATGTTATCATTCTGTTTGTTGGCAATGATTTCATTAGATGAAACTACAGGATGTTGGGAGAACTTAAGGTAAGTCTGGATGCCACTTATTCTATTTACAGGGATATTTTTAGTATTGCAAATATCCAATGTGAAATGTAAATATCAAGAAAAAAATATATACAAGAGTTTAACTCATTCCTAAGAAATGACTGTGAATCGCTGTATCTAAAGAACACTTCGTAAATACATCTTTCAGAATGCAAAGAGCTCAAAACCCAAAAGCTGAGTCATATACATTCTCCTGATGAAGTAACAATTAAAAAGGCCTATTCATTTCTCTATTTCGTAACACTTAACTGAAACACATGTAAAGGAATATAACTGAAAAGACAATGAACTGTGGTTGTAGAATAACAGTGAAAATTTTAGATTGCAAACAACTTTTCTAACAGTCTGTGACAACTATTTTACACTTGTGAACCATTGCTCATTGTAGTACTCATGTAACAGAGTCCTTCGATACCGCTGAAATCTGCAAATGTAACTGGTAATTGGTCAGAATGTACATGACTAAATTTATCACCAGATGACACCACATCACCATTACTCTACAGAGTCTTTACAAACCAGGACACTGGAGAAGTAACTGCTGCCCTGCACAATTCTTTAAATAGGGCATTTCGTTCTTATAGCTTTAACATTCTCAAAATAAAAAAAACAATAGCAACTGTTACACCAAATTAAACAAATCACTTCTGGAATGTTTTAACAAAGTAATTTATTTCTTGCTATAAGTGAAGTTAATGCTAGCAGAATAGGGTGGAGTGTGCTGGGTTTTTAATTATTTTTTTAATTATTTTAAAAATATAATGAAACTCCCAAACAACCTTAAATTGGTTAGTAGCTTAAAAAAGTACTGAAATAATGCATTAAATATTTACAAGAAAAAATAAAAAATCAGAGGTTCACAGCACCATACCTGTACCCTTACATGAACTTCCGCAAGGAGACTAGAGTACTGCTGCTCCAGAGCCACTTTTTGTTTCTGCCAACAGCTTTCCTGTGCTTTCATTTGTTCAGCCATTTTTCTAAAAGCATCTTCCTGGCTCTGCTGAAGCTCATTCACAGTATCGGACTTGCTCTTACAAACACATTCTAGGCGAGATATCTGTGTGACATACGTTACCAAAAATTCTTTTACCTCCCAAAACACTTTTTTACTTTAATTGTACATATTAATTTAAACACAGGCTATTCCAGCATAAAATCCAAATTGTAATTTCTTCAACACATTTATTTAAACGAAGTAAAAACCTTTAATGACTGATTGCTTACTTGACTCTTTCAAGAAAACTGAGACATATTTAGGAATAATGAATTTTCCTTGGTTTCAGTTTTGTCATCCTTATACCACCTTGCATATACCTGTTTCCTTCTTTGTTGGAAACATGAACTGGACACTTCCTGTATTACTTTGAAACACGTGCAGTAAATTTTGTGCTGCTAAATTAGCAACACAAGTATACCAGTCCTTCAGCAGTTTGCAAGGGTTGCAAGTAATAATGAAAAAATAGTCCTTTTGTTTGTTTGTTTGTTTGTTTTACTGGAAAGTTGAAACATTGCATGTATTATTCAGCACTAAAATAATTTCAGGAAATTTCAGTGCACAGAATGTTTTTCTTCCAAGGAGCTCATTTGTTCATGATGTGTTTTCAACAAGCATGAAGGGATTCACTCTGTGGCCTAGCTTTGCAGGTCCCATGCAAACTAAATGGAGAAATGAGTCAAGCTAAAGATGACCTCTAAATACACATGCCTATACTTTGTTATTAGTTACTAGATACTAGAATATCAGCAAGATACTTTGGAAATAGATCACACAGAACTGCAAGAGAAAAAAATTTGTTCTCAATAAACAGGTAACACACAGGTAAATGCCCCAAATCACTGAAAAGCTGGTGGGAACATGAAAAGAGCCCTAGAGACCCCATAATCAATGTCAATAGCCATACTAAATTAAAAAGCAAGAAACGATAATACACAACCCCCCCCAAACACTGTCAACAATGTTCAAGCCCTTCCCTTCCATTCCTTTTCCTCCTTGACATCAAAAGGAAAACAGAAACATACAATCAATCTGCATAATCCCTCTTTGATAAATTCCATTGACTTCTGCGGTATTTACTAAATAATGGGCAGAGTGAAAACGATTCACTGTAACCAGCCTTGTCTTGTAATCCAGCCATAGGAGAGGCCACAATTCCAGGAGATGAGAAACTCCTCAAAGAGCTTTCTCCTCCTGGGCCTGAAGAACAAAATGTCAGAGCAGACAAGATCTGGAGTCACTGTATTAGACTGTATGACTAGCCTGATCAATGCAGGCAGAACACAAACTGAAATCCTGAAGAGTGGCATACGTTACCCCTTGGAGCCAGTTTAAGTTATTTAAAAAGAAGTCTTTTCATTCCTGAAAACACGGGGATTTCTGGGGAGAAAGCCATGTAAGCTTATTCACATTAAAATCATTCAGAAAAGTACAGCATCTCCCTTAAATATTGACAAACTTTATGAAAATAAATTTTTTTTATTGTATTTCTGAACACAAATTTCATAATCCAAAAGTTACAGTTAAACCAAATAAATACACTAGCATTTTCTCAGATAGTACCTCTGAATCATAAACATTAAAAGATGAAGATCCTGAAGTGCATTTTGTTTCTGTTTTATGCTAAAATAAAGACTTGCTTTATTAGTGTAAATGACTAAGTTCTTTGAATTGCTTCATCAGTAAGATTAATTTATTTTCTTTTAATTAGGTCCCTGTGGCTAATATTGGCTAGTACTATTAGCATGTCCTGCACAGAAAGTGGAGCTTAGAGACTTCATACAGACTTCAGTCACATTTACATGCCCACAGCAATGGCATCAAACTGAGTTGTAGACAAGCCATAATTAATGGTATTGAATTATTAACGTCCAAATTCTTTTTGAAATAAGATGAATGTCAGTCCTTTTTAATGATACTGTGATGTGGACAAATGTCACTGAATTTAATAGAGGTAGCTAGTGCCTAAGGACACTTACCTTCTCATTAGCCCTGTTGAGGTCTAAGATCAGGGCATCAACATTCTCCTGCAAGACTGCACAAAGCTCAGACCAAGAGAATCTATCTATGATGCCTTCTGGTTGTTTTATAAGCACACAGCCTGCTACCAAACGCTGGTATAAGCTATGGAGGAAGGTTAGCTTCTCCTGAAACAAAAAGAAAAATCAACTGCTGTATCTGAACAGTGTTATAATCCAAAGAGATGCATCATATGTGTAATAATGTGAGCTGCACACAGCTGAAAAACCCACAAAGCTAATTCTCAAATCTTGTCAAAATTCCTCAATCCCTTGTTAATATTTGCAGCCATACATATTAAAGCCAGAGTACGAAAACAGCTATTACAAAATTTGATTATACAAACAAAGCCACCCCAATCTTGCAGTGGTCGCAACTAGTACCTGACGATAGAAATAAAATTTTTCGTGCTATTAGTAGAGCAATCTGATCATTCATGTTAACATGTTCAGGTACAGTCAAATTGAATGCACCTCCTGTACCTGCACAACACATAGTCGTCTGATTAGTTTAGCAGCATAGCACATTGCTTATACAATTACCACTCTAAAGTCATTAAAAAATTATTTTTGTGTGGATTATGTGCAATAGACTTGTAGCTTCATCAGTTAAATTCCTCAAGCCATGCCTCATTCATTTACACTGATTTTCATGTAAATATAATAGATATAAATATTTTAGTGTAAACATAATAAATTGATGCAAGTTATAAATAAACTTCAGCAACAACAGCTGAAATTTCAGCCTTCACCCTTTTAGTACATATATGCAATTTAGCCATTTCGATTAAGACAACAATAGAAAGCTGTATCTCAAATGCCACAAGAAACAGAGACTTTATTCAAAGGCAGTAAACTATTGTAAAGGTTCCCACTGTTTTTCAGGGATGGATGAGGCTTTACATTAAGAAGTTGTGGATTACTGAGATGGGGAACTGTGGTTTTTCTGAGCCCTTTCCATTATACTTTGGTGCATTTTCTCAAAATTACTCAATGGTATTTTTAGGCAATAAAAAATTGCAGTTTAGTTTAAACTTTACTTCTAGCAGATCTCCTCATTCCCTACTGAAAATTGAGTGTGCCACCACCATTACATTTTTGCTTGAGCTGTGACAAATCAAGGATGGTAATTATCCATTTGGCGTGAAAAAGAGATCCCAAGAACCAAAATCAATTCACACAAGTTGAATGCAACCACAGTGTTGTAGACATGCTGACTTTACAATATAGCCAAGCCTCTAGTTTCCTTCACTTTAATCATTATCTCATGTGTATAACAATTCCAGCTGCTTCATGTGGACACAAATTAAATACCAGACTGTAAAAGAGGTGGAAAGAATGTTTTCTTTTTACTCAGTTGGCATCCATGTCCAAATTTGGGGAAGTAATGAGCTCAATATGCACAACCATGATAAAGTATATCACTCCTATTGCTAGTACTTTTATGCTTTATTGGGGGAGAAAAAGCGATAAAACTAACATCTGTAAACAAATATAAGGAGAAAGATAATAGTTCTGAAACAAGACTTTGTGCAGCAATTCCCACATACGGCATACCACAACAAGCTAACAGGTAACAAATAAGAATTTCTAGGGTTTGTGTCATGCAGGCAAAAGTACCTCAACTCCACATTTGCTATCTATCAATTGCCATGTGAATTAGTAACACATGATGTTGACTATTGTATGTTTCAATCGTAAAACATTTTTGTTAACTTTCAATTTGAAAGAAAGAAATAATTGTTCATCAGGCATAGCTCTTTAAATAAACTTAGTTGATCAAAAATCCAAACACTGGAAGGGTTAAGTTATTAATTCTGATATAGAAGGAGAACGAGTATGTCCTGAGATCCTGTAGATATTAAATACATATTTCAAAATACATATCTTAAAATCATATTTCAGGGATAAATCTGTTAAGACTAAGAATAACCATCCAAAGTATGTAAATGTATAAAGTTGAGATTAAATAAAAGACTCTCTTTGACAGTCATCTTGTCTTTGGTAATACCTCCATATCCTTCTGGTAAGCCCTGGTAAGCTTCTGGATTTCATTTTCAGATTCTGTGACGCGTACTTTCTCCTTCTCCAAGCATTGACATACATTCAGCAGTTCAATTTTTAAAGTTCCTATTAAAGTCTCTCTGTCTGTACATTTAGTGTGCAGATGATTTAACTCTTTATTGGCATCATCTAGATTATCCTGAGCTTCCTGTAGAAAAAAGGCATGGAACAGAAGAGAATTTTACTCTATAAAATGTTCCCTTAATCCAGTGCTCAGCATCTGAGGAAATAAACAGTCGTATAGCCACATGTTCAGAAGACTGCAGGCTAAGCTAAATATCTTTCAAAAACAGAATTTCAAAACTAACAATAGTCTTTCTCCACAGCTTGTAACTAGACAGCATCAGAAATCCATCTCAGAGATAAAAGCACCATGGTGCAGTGACCTTCTGAATACCCTCTACAGCCGCAACTGAGATACAGAATTCATGGACACAAGTTATTCTCCACAGAGAGTAGAGAGCTCTCAGAGCTAGTGAAAAGATACACTACGTTTCTAAGTAAATCTGATTCATTACAGCTGAGTAGGTAGACAACACAGACATCTGCTGTTACCCACTGCATTCTTTGTCTGCACAGTAAAAAAAAAAATGCAAGGGCTCTCTTGGGAGACTGGACCATTGGAAGAAACTAATAATCAGAAATTATCATAAATACAGTCATTACTAGTACCAAATCTTGCAAGGTAAACAAAGAACTGAATATACTACCCCTTTTCAGCTAGAAGATTGCTGAGATGGAGTGGACAGATACACATGCTTTCCACTCTTACATTCACTGCACTTCCAGCACTGCTTAAGTTTGCTAAAGGTCAAACTGAAAGCACTGTTTGTTTTTCATAAAAGCATAGCTGCTTATATGGGAAATATAATAGGAAAGATAATTCCAAATTCATCAGAGAGTGACAACTTTCATTCTTCGTAATGAAAACACTAAAAGATTAAAGCAATGCCAATTTTGTAACACAAATGCTGTCAGACTTTATCTAGTTTGCATTCATATATACAGATTTATTAGCAAAAATTTAAAGAGAAACTAGTGAACTGCATAAAACCATCACCATCTGCGTGTAGCAAATTCAGTTTTTGCATGAAGTATACAAGTATCTGTTGCAATGGGTTGGAAAATTTTTAGGTGCCTTACAAAGGTGCTGCAACAGAAGCAGAAGGCTGAAGTCCTCCAAACATAAATTGGTGAAGAGAGTTTCAATCAGATAGCAGGAGGTCACATGCAAGTAACAATTACTATGAAGATTCAACGAGTGCTGCAGAAGCATCTGTGACTAAAGTGATAAAGCAGCATATTCCCAGCAAAAGAATCTGAGTAACACTGGGAACAGAGACGTTCTATTTTGGCAGTAATATAATATAGTGCCAGTTGGGAGATTAAGTTTAACCATGACCTCAGAACTTCCTCATTCCCTTGGCCATTGATGTAACCAGACAGGACATTACTAAAAGGGTGTGTCAGCCAAAAACAGAGATATAAAAAAAAAAAAAAAACCTTGTTCAGAAACTAAAGAAAAGAGTTCTCAAGTATTTTTATCAGCACTCAGGTAGATTTTATACTTCAGGAAATTTTGGGCTGCACACTGTTAAGGACGACTGATGCCTCATACATACATTAACTTGTCAGATAAACACAACAAAAATTAACAAAGGAAAGGACATCTTTAATAAAATGTGCTTTCATACAAACAGAGGTAATTAAATTCCCCCTTTTCTGGAGAAAAACAATTAACAGGAAAAAATTACCAATGCTGATTTCAGTATAAAACAATATTTTACAAGTGGATAAATCTATTTCAAGTTATTCCAGAACTGCAATCAGTTATGATCAGAAAAGATCAGTTAGGTAGTCTAAGGTGGTAACCAGAATAAAGCAGCATGACTTCACACAAGCTTGCAAGGTAAACTCGTCTGCTCAACAGAATACAAGAGAAAGACTTAAGTCTGATAAGATAAAAAGACACCATAAATACAAAAAAAATACATTTTTTGCAGAACTTTCATATTTTATGTTAAGTTCCTGAAACCATACCTTAAGGTCTTCACTTAAAGCACACATTTTCTCTTTGGATGTCTCAAGTTCTTTTGTCTTCTTTTCACACAAAGCCTCCATTTTCCTAAGCTGTGAAAATATGGAGGTCAAACAGGCTTTTACATAAAAGCTACATAATCATTTGAATACAAGAATTTTATATATAAATAAATTTTTAAAAAAGTTTCTAATTCCTTTGGCAATATTCATACTCCACACATACGCGCTATTGCAAAAGCATTAAGATTTTTATAATGATTTAAGATAAACAGCAGTGGCAGAATCCACAACTGAGTCCAGTATTAAATTTCCCATTAACTTCCAAAATATCTGACAAAAACGCAAACTTTGAAACACATGTGAAAATATAATAAATTCAGATTATAATCTGGGCAGTGGTTTCAGAAAACAAGTTCTCAAAGTCAGTGGCCTTTTGCAGAAACTGTCCAGCTGCAAGCCTGGTCTCTACTTTTTATGGAGTGCTGGGCAGTACTCATATACCCATAAAAAGCAGCCATGTTCCTGAGACTCATTGTGACTATTGAGCTACTTGTGATGTTACAAGCAACCACCTTAGAGGTAGCTCATGATCAGTACGTGCACTAGCTTCACCTTCCATTTTCGAAAAAGATAACGACACATCATTATAACCTGTGTCTTTACCCAGTGATGAAGTTAGCAATACAAATGTCTGAAAGAAAGCATTGAATAGATATGTATTAGAGTTCAGGTTACTGCTGGTACTTAAACACTAAGGGGCAACTCAGAAGTAAAAAAAAAAAAAAAAAATTTACAAAATTTACAAATTACTTTGGAAATTAAGTTTCGGTTTTATCTCAAATCAGGAGACTTAGCAGAACCGTTAGAAATAATTACAGTAAATTACAGAATGCTACTGGAGTATTTGCAGCCTTTTTGTTGGTTTATTAGTGTTCTCTGTCTCCTCAAAAACATTCTAACCTCTGCACTATACAGAGAGTTGAAAGCCTGTTATCTGTCAAAAGCAAAACACTTATACACCTTTCAGTCACACAAATGAATTAGATTGTTTAATCTAAAGTTCTACACAGTAAGACAGGTGACACATGGCAAGTTTACCAGCATATTTCACAGGTACATACAGGTGTAGAAGTATATTAAGAAGTCTATCAATATGCAGGGTCTTGTTTAAAATCTCTCTTTAAAAAGAACCAATACATAATTACTCAAAACTAAGCCCTTACTGCTGTGTATTAAAACATCCTGTTTTTATTGCACAGTGCCCTTCATAGTCCCTTTGTGCATTATTGCGTTATTAAAAAGTTTTATTACTAAACATATCTAATATATAAAAAGCCAAAAGCAGAGTTATCTATGGGGGTGGGGATAATCAAGAAGGACAGAGTACTGCCCTTTATGAAGGTGCTCAGTGATCTCTGGCTCCATATGACAACTTCAGGGTCAGTCACACGCAGTCCTACTGGGAAGTCTTGTGGCAGGTCATCTGTTGGTCCTGCTCTGCTTGCGATTTATTTTCCTTGACAGTTCATTCTTCTTTCTGTCAGAATACTCTCTTTGCTTTCTTAGCAGCCACCCCCTTGGTCTCCCCACTGCTGTCTCTGGCACAGTTTCACAACAAAGCACATCACTAAGCCAAAGCCTGCTGAGTCGACTTTTCAACTGTGCTGCCTATCACGTGACGTTCCCCCTCCCAAATAACAATTCGCTGTGGGTAATATGTTCCTAGTTACTCTTCAGCTTCCAGACTTGGGTCTCAGAAGAGTTTCATAATGACTATGCACATCAGTTCTCTTATCTCACTGGGAGATACCTAACAGTGCTTGCTGTTTGCAGAAGTATAACTGTTTCCACGGTCACTTATTTTTGTACCCACTGAACAATCTCAAAGGTCTTGCGGGAGACCATTCTTCTCCCAGTAAAAAAAGGCAAAGCTGACACACTTTTTTGCCTGGCTTTTTTTTTTTTCTTCTTTATTTAAACATTGTGAGTGACTAGCTAGACTGTGTATTTGTCAAAACAGAAGACAAAACCTAGAAATTAAAAAACACTACTGGCTTTCTTCCAGTCTTATCTCTCAGACCTTGCCCTTCAGTATTTGCCAATTTTATCCAAAGATAAGTGAATTACAAGTTTGCACAGAAAGCTTTAACAGTGCAGTTAACTTCTCTCTACAGCCTTTAAAGCCACAAATTCATAAAACATTTACACCCAAGAGAATTCATCTAATCATATTAGCAATACAAATGAGACAATAAATGTAAGATTGTGACTTCTCAGACAGTGAAATAAAAAGACTAGTAGGACTGCATGGAAAACATTTGGATTTTTTTTAAGGGTAAAACTTCCAAAAAAGACACAGAAATGCATTCTACCGACAGCACGAGGAGACGGGGAAGAGAAAAAGAGGGAAGAAAGGAGAATAATGGTACGTGGACAGGGCAAAAAAAGAAAGATATATATAAATAAAGAACGGAAGAGAAGAGCATGGCTTTGCAGCTAACTGGGGGGAACCATACAAATAAAAACCAAAGTCATATATAGCCACCAACAAGGAGACAAAATGAAAGAGAGACAGAGAAGGAAGGCGAGAAAGAAAGAGAAAGAAAGTCAGAAAGAAAGAGAAAAGAACATTAAATCAAGCTACGGTGCTTTTCAACAGGCTCATCTGCAGAAGTGAACGTGCAGAGGTGGACGAAATACCTACCTTTGCCATTGGCAGGGACGGGAATGCGATCATAAAAAAAAGAAAACAATAATCTCCACATTTGGAGGGCAGAATGGGAAAAAGACAAGGACTCTTTAGTACGGCGATCCAGACCCCTCGGCTAACCCCGCTTGCTTGGCTTAGAGCTTGCAAAGTTAGCTGTCAAAGTGCTTTGGTGAAGCTGTGTTTAAATGATGCTCTTATTCCTGTGTCAAAGGAAAGGCTGCGGCCACCGAGCGGGGCGGCCCCTTGGGGTTTGCTGGCTGGTGGCTCTCACCCGGCTGCGTTTCACTCTCTAGGGCATGGCCAAGTCCCGGATAACATGCAGGGAAGGCGATGGATGGAGCTGGGACACGGCGAGGGGTCGTTGGGTTGTGTCGGCCCAAAGAAAACCGGTGACAAAGAGGGGCCGGAGGGTGCGTGTGGGTGAGGAGGAGAGACCCGGGAGGGAGGCTGGGGAAGGCAGCAGGGATGGATGGAGATGGGAACAGGGATTTAAAAGGGAAGGCAGCGCCCTGGGGGAACCAACAGCTGTGAGGGGGCTGGTAGGAGGCTGAATCCAGAGCTTTTGGGATGAGGAGCTGGGTAGTGAGGATGCTGGGATGCAGCACGTGGGTACCCCAGTGCAGGATGCTCAGGATGGAGGGGGCAAATAACCCAGCACCCAACCATGGAGGAGAAGAACCCCTGTGGCAACAGGGTCCAGCCGAGGCCGTAGGGCAGCAGCCAATTGAGGGGGAAAAGGGCAATTTGATCTCAAAGCGAGCCCGCTCCCTCTGCGGTGCGGAGCTGCTTGATTCTCTTCCCTTTTAAATTCCTGGTTCGGGGATAGGAAATTGGAATACGATGTTCAGCGGCCGTAAATAGTTAAGGAAACACATCTGCTTTTTTTTGTCTGTTTGTTTCTTCTCCACATTAACACACACAAAAGCAAAAACTTCTAGAACAACACGACAACGGGGAGTGGATAAGAGAGATATCGTTTGCATTTCTGTACATCACAAGGGAAAAGAAAAGAAATCATGAGAAAGGAAACTAAAACAAGGAGGGAAGGGGGGAAAAAAAAGCACGTTTCATTGCCCTTCCCTCCCCCTCGTCCCTGCTTCTGCTTGAGCAAGAAATGGAAGTGTATATTACCGTTTGGGTTTTTGTCAAATGGGAGGCTAAAGAAAAACACAGATGGGATTAAAAAGAAAAACTAAAACTAAAAACCAGAAACCAGAGAGAGAAAAAGAAGAGAAAGAAAGAAAGAGAGAAAGAAAGAAAGAAAGAAAGAAAGAGAGAGAGAAGAGTCCCCGCTGGTGCCGGGGAGCCAAGGAGCTCGTCAGCCTGGGTGATGCTGGGGGAGAATGGGGTGATCCCCCTTGCACCCCAGCCACGCCATAGGAAAGAAGAAAGCAGAGAGGTGCCCCGAGAGGTGCTGCTGGGGGTGCTGGGGAGGGTGAAGGGGGGTGAATATGGGGCTCTTGGCACCGTTTTCCAGGGTGCTTCCCTGCAGGAATGTCCCTGCAACACCTTGCCCATGGGTATGAAGTAGCCTGGGGTGGGTGGGGACCGGTGTGCCCCCCATTAGGGGGTTCCCCCAGCACAATGCCTTTGCTCAGCGTTGCCTCCATCTCCCCACCAGTCAAAGCAGGCTCCTTGCACTGGTTAAACTGGGACTGGAGCCCTGGGTGCACTGGGTTAGGGCTTTCCTCCACTCAGTGTGGGAGCAGCCCCCCCCCGGCTTCACCAGGACCCCCGGGGTGCCAAGGCAGAGCTGGGAGCACTGAGGCCCAAATTCACCCACCTTGGACCCCCTGAGTTCCTAAAATCAGAGCACCCAGCACCAAAACCGCCTCCAAACCCCAACACCAGTGCCCACACTGGGTGCTGAGCGCTGGGGCTGGCACCCTGGCACTGGGGAGGGTTGGGGCTGGTGGGGAAAAGATAATCTTCCAGCTTTACCCATTTTTTGGCTGTCTGGGCTCAATCCATTCCCAGGGAAGTTCTGAGCCCGGTGGTGACCATAGCGGGTAACACTGTCCTGCCAATCCATCACCCATGGGGGTGACATCTGCAGAGCAATGTGTGGCTTTGGGAGTGGGATGAGCTACTGGGTGCCCCGATACCTGCCCCGAGGTGATGGGCTGACCGTGCACCCAGTGGCAGGTTAATGGGTGCTTTTGGGGGGGGGGGGTATGGAGCCTGCACCCCACATCTCCCCCGTGTGCCCCGGCTGGGCTCGGGGGGAGCAGGGAAGGAGGAGAGAGGAGAGCCGGGGTAGGGGTGTCCTGCGGAGGGAGGAGAAGGGGAGGGAAGCGAACGGTGATCCAAGAAAAGCCTACGTACATCCGAGGGCTCCGGGAGCGGGGCGCCGTGGCTGTGCCGGCCGTTCTGGGCGCTGCCTTTGTGCCCGTTCTGGTGCGGCGAGGCCGAGCGCTGCGGCGAGGGCGAGGACCGGCTGC